CAACCATCTCATCCTCTGTCGTCCCCTTCTCCTCCTGCCTTCAGTCTTTCCCAGCATCAGGCTCTTTTCCAATGAGTTAGCTCTTCACATCAGGTGGCCAAAGTATTGGAGTTTCAGCTTCAACATCAGTCCTACCAATGAGCACCCAGGACTGATCTCCTTTAGGATGGANCCCCCGCACGATGGGGTGCTCTTCTTTTCCCGTCTTTGGATGGACGTGCCCTCACGCCTCGAAGATGGATTTTCCTGCTATTATCTAAATAAACAGAGCTGTAACACTGATTTATTTAAGAGCTATAACACGGTCTGTCCTCCGAGAGCTGTGACACGCTGAGGGGGCTTTAATGTCCGTCACTCCAAATTTTTGTTGTGACGAGACAAAGAACCGAGGAGCATACATTCGCCTGACAAATATGAAGCCAGATGAATGCAGTGTTAATGTAAAGCCTCTTTAGTTCCACAGTAGTGTTTAAGTTTACTTAGTGCTTTTGTGTGCCACTGTGGTTCATTCCTTTCCGTTGCTCTACTCCTGTCTTTCTCTGTGTGGATCTGTCACAATTTAACATCCATTGTATTATATGTGAATACAACGTGGAATTCTTTTGGAATACTGTGAAATGTGCTTCTGTGTCCATTATTTAGTAAGAGGATGCAGATGTCAGGATATTCAGTATATGCTATTTCAAAGTGGCATGCCAGTTTACATTTGTAAAGCAGTTGATCAGAGTTTCCACTGTTCTACAGTAATACTTGGAATTTTCCTTCTTCTGTAATCAGTCTTGTGAGTGTATAGTGATATAGATAATCTGCATTTCTCTGAATACTAAAGAGGTTGAACACCTTCACAAATGGTTTTGGGTCCATCTTTTGTATTTTGACTCCACTGGAATAAGCTTTCACCCCCATGCATCCACCCAAACTGCCAGCTCCAGGATGTCAGTGGATAAAGAACTCTCCATTGTCAAATCCAATGATCAACACGGGGCCCTCAGGCTATGGACCTAGCAACAGCATTTAAAAAATAATGGGTGTATATGAGGCCCCGGGTTCGATTCGGGCATCTCCACTAAAAAAAAAAAAATAATGCGTTGTTGTGACTTGCTTTTTTAAAAGAATCACTCTGTCTGCTGGATGGAAAGTAGACTATTGTGGAGCAGAGAGATCAGGTAATTACTTCTGCACTTGTCTAGGAGGGAGTGATGATGATACAGGTTCCACTCCTTACCACCTCTAGAACAGAACCCTCCGGCCTCTGTTTCTTCATGCACAAGATGGAGGTCTCATATTGTGCTTGGGAGGATTACATTAGGGATGAGTGTAGAGTGTCGGGCACAGTGTCAGCGATGTTATATGTGCCTGGGGGCACCGCTCAGGGGTGGAGCGTTTGACCACACACAGTCGGTGAGGTTATATGTGCTTTGTGCTCTACCCCCCTCCAAAGCTCTGTTTCTTTAGACTGTCAGTCAGCAATATATTAACTTAAAAATCAGAAATAAATATAAGTAGAAAAAAGGGAATAATTGATAATTTCAGCTGAACTCCACACTAGACAAGGTTGTCTCTTGCCTAAATGCTCTCCTTCCCTCATGCACCACCCCCATGCATCCAAGGTGATCAGACCACCCTGGATCAGATGTAGCCCCTTCCAAGATAGTCCCAAAATAAAGAAGCCCCAAGGACTAGGCACTATGGAGTCTGAAGTGATGCTTCTTAAAATAGCTTTTTATTTACTTAAAATCATTTTCTATTCATGAATAGTAATTGTTGAGGCAAATTAGATTACTGAACAGATAACATTCTTTAAATAATATATATGAGTGGGATGAATGATCCTGTGATAATCTTAGGTGCAAATAATACTTTATATCAAACAATGGAGATAGAAGATAGTATGCCCTGAAAAGTAATTTCAGATCAGAAATTGGCCCAACTAAAAGATGACATTGATAAGTATGATTCATGAGAAGAACTTACATAAAATTGTTTCATGAAATGGAAAGAAAGCAAAAGTGTAGAATATTTTAAATATGAGTTCACATATGAATATATAACCAAATTAATAAAACGAATACTGAAAGCATTGCCATCCTGTCCCTATGTTGGTGTGTTTCTGTAGATTGTCCCTGTCAGAGTTACAGGGTCCATCAATTCTCACTTCACCTTTGCTTCTGTGAGTGCCTTATTCCCACTCCGTGCTTGAGATAGTTGAGATGTTTGAATTCTTCCTCCAGTATACTTCTGCCTTTGGTCATGCTTGTCCTTCACCGGCTGCCTCTTATGCTGCTGGCTGTTCTGGGGGTGGGGCCTCCGGTGGGGGTGCTGCCGGCGGGGGGGCCTCCGGTGGGGGAGCCTCTGGCGGGGGTGCCTCCGGCGGGGGTGCCTCCGGCGGGGGTGCCTCTGGCGGGGGTCCTGCTGGTGGGGGTGCCTCCGGCGGCGGGCCCTCCGGAGGGGGTGCCTCTGGTGGGGGGCCTCCCTCTGGTGGGGGGCCTCCCTCTGGTGGGGGGCCTCCCTCTGGTGGGGGGGCTCCCTCTGGTGGGGGGCCTCCCTCTGGTGGGGGGCCCTCCTCTGGTGGGGGGCCCTCCTCTGACTCCTCTCGTAGCCCTACTGGGAGGAGTTCCATTATGAATCCCTCACTACTGCTCTCCTCTGTCTCCTCCTCTGAGGCGTGCTCTGGGGTCTCTACTGACTCAATTCCAGCCTTGAGGCTAATAAATAATAATATAATTATCAAAAACACCAAAAGTAACGCAGGGACTATGTAAATAATGTTGCCAGGATAGTCACCCTCAGTCGAACGTGTCATAGGAGTTTCACTTTCACCTTCACTAGAAACTCGAATTGATACACTAGCAGGACCACTGTCTACACTACCACCTTCTCCTGGGTCTTTGCAGTCAGGGGGAGCATAGCCATCCTCACAATGGCAATGCCTCAAATTGTTGCAAACTCCTTTCCCGTTACACAATTCTGTTGTTTCACAGTTGTAACCAAGTGAGGTATAATCAGTACACAAGTGATTCATACAGACTTTGTGTGGGGCACAGAGAGTGCCAGTATGCGCATCTCCATCATCAGGGATATCAGCAGTGTCATAGGCATCCATGCTCCAGCACCAGTCATCTCTGTGAGCGACCTGGATCAGTGTATGATTGGGTTTGAGTTGTGGTATCTGTCTAACATTTGTACATATGAGTTTCCCACAAAATATGTTATCATCTGCACACTTCAGATATGTTAACCTCGGTGAGCTGGTGGTACCACAGTTTCCAAACCGGTCCCCTCTTGTGTTCATTGAAACGTAACAGTTTTCTGGGGCAGACCTTGCAGGGGACCCATATATATCCATGCATTGATTGTCAGGGTTCTTACACCGACCGCCAGCACAGTAGTGAATTCTATCACACATTGTACCATCGAGCTTATAGCTGTCTCTGGGACATTCTCCCGAGGAACCATTACAATACTCTGGGAGGTCACACTCTCCCAAAGCAGCACGGCACATGAATCCCTTGTGTCTCAGGCGACATTTATCACAGCAGAGCCCATCACTACACTCTGCCTGCTCTCTCAGCCTACATCTGGTGTCACAGCATGGGTGCGTTTCACACTTAGAACCACAGTCACACTGCTCATCTCCTTCTACAATGCCATCGCCACAGCGGGAAGCCCTCCGTAAGCGGCCTTTGTGCCCAGGCCTGTTAAACAGGCAGGCCCCCTTGTGTTCCCAGAGGAACTGGTGGAAGAAGTCAGAGCTGCAGTTGCTGAAGCCACTTTCTTTAGTGATGTTTTCACGCATGAGGCAGAAGGGCCTATCTTTACAAATGCAGGCCAAATGGTCGTGCCGAATACCCAAGTTGTGTCCAAGCTCGTGGACCATGAGTGCTGCAAACAGGAGGACATCCTCGTGGTGGAAGGATTCCACGGCTGCTGCAAAATCACTTGAGCAGGCACCACTGAGAAATGCCTGCCCCATATCCTCTTTAGGATGCTGTCCCACGATCATGTGGGCAACATCATGCTTCACACGGTGGAAGAGCTTCTCTTGTCTCCAGCTGTTGAAATTCCTGAGTGCAACTTGCAGGTCCACGGGGACCTCTGTGAGGTCCCCCTCAGTCCAAATCTCCACTCCAGCCAGCACCACCTCTGTGTTTATTCCCCTTGTGAAGCTGTTGGCCAGAGCTATGATGTCCATCACTCTCTGGACTGTCTGATTGACGTCACCGCCCCACATTTGGAACCGCTGGTTGTTGACCACGACAAACATCTCCACGTACTTGGTACGTGACCACAGGTCGGATGTCACGTGCCAGCTGTGAGGCTTGGCGCTCTGTGGTTGCCGGCTGGTGGACGCCACTTGGCTGTCCTTGGACGTGACGCTGCAGGAGACTTGAGCTTCGTGGCCCATGGCGTACAACACGTGCTCAAACCGTTTGGAAGAGTGCACGGGCTCAACGCCATAGGACTTTTCCTCCTTAATCAGGAGGCCCCTGAGGCCTGAACAGGTGTTGACAGAAACAAAAGAACCTGGGACTCCTTCTATGTAGCCTTCATAGTGACAGTCCTGCGAGATGAGAGGCATTTCTTGCCCCAGGATGCCATTGTGATAGCTGAAGACCGGGAAGTTATCCACAAAATAGTCTCTCTTCACCGTCAGGTGAATCAGCTGCCTCTGGCCCTGCATAAATAGCATATAGGAGAGCTTTTCCACTTGGTCTTCCCTTCCTTCCACTGTCAGACTCTTGGGAATGACTATTTCATAGGAAGAGTGATATAGTGAGCCCAGGTCACAGTACAGGCTTGGCAGAGAAATCAGTACCAAGAACAACAGGATCCCCAACCTGGCACATGAAAGTCCTGGCACCAGGGCCAGCCTCAAGCCCTTCATCTGAGGAGCCCAAGTTTGAAGCACTCGGATAGCCTCAGACATAGCCACTTGCCTTTTCGGTAGAGAAGGCAGTATAGAGGCAGAGTCTCTCCCAGATGCTGCCGCTGGCGTGGCCCTGGTGAGTCCGTTGATGATGCAGGGCTTGTGTCCAGCGGCAGCAGCTGCTTTCCCTGGCATGCTGAGCCTGGGCAATTCAGCTATTAGCCCCAGATCTATGCTGGCTCCCTTATGGGTGGGTGCTGCCCGACTCTAGAGTCATACAGACCTTGGGGCTGTGTTTCTGTTGTTTTTCTCTCTTGGTCTTCAGTGGTTTCCTTACTATATGACCTCCTTCCAACAGCAACAGTTTTAATGCTCCGTGGCTGTTTCCTCTACCCAAGTAGACAGCCTCTAATGATTTCAAGTCAGTACTTTTACTCAGTCAAATTATCCTTGTCCTCAGCCCAGTCCACACTACTCCTGATATCCGTTAATCTGCTCATTCTTTGAAACCCAACATTCTGGCAGGAGGTCAGGGGGGAGGGGAGGGGGATTCTTTGGGGATCCCAGAGCAGGACGATGTTCTTTGTTGCCCACTGCCTCTTTTCCTGGTATCTGTAGTACTGAGGATATTGTTTCTCAGTCCAGTCCTTCTTTGTCAGGGTCTGGTTTTTTTTTTTAAATTTCTACATGGGTGCAGAAATTCTCCCTCATTCACTTTTGTTCATGACAGATGAGTTTAGACATTTTACATCTGCATATAAACATAATTTTCCTCCAATAAGAAGTATTCTGAATATATAGACATACTAACTGTTAAATGAAAGAAGTTCAGTTTCCCTATGGAGACTAACAAGTGACGAGGATCAAAGTTCCAATTTCTCCCAACATAAAAACAAACTCTGGAGTAAAACTAAACTCTGAATAACCAGGTTATGTAGTTACCATTTCATCAAGAAAATAAAAATGCACTGTATAAGAATTTTTTAAAGACCTCTTTGCTTTTGTAACTAAAACTGAACCATGTCTATGAAAGTCTTTCAGTTTGATTTTGATGTTGATGTTATATTTAGTAGTATAGATTTAAAAGGAAAAAAGGGGAAGAAAAGCTTTATCCACATCCCTTGCCCAGTTATTCTTTTTTGCATCCTAATATCAACTAAAGTAAGACTCTACATCTTTTATATTGCATTAAAATAATTTTATATTAAGTCAAATATTTACAATATAAAACCTTCAAAATAAGGGTTAGGAGTGTAAGTACTGCACAAAAATGGAGAGATGCACTATATAATTCAAAAAAGAATCGTATACAAGATTTCAGATATAAGCATGAGCACATCAACTCATTAACCCTTTCCAGTTAATGTTTAATTCCTAACACAGACAAGGAAATTTATCCACATCTAGCAAGGAAATTAATACCATCATATCACCCAGTAAAAATTTACAGCAAAAATGGTGAAATGATTTCTAGCTGTATTTCCCTTCTCCTTGTATTTTATATAAGAGAAAAGCCTCTTCAAATTATGTAACTTGGAAACTATCACAGATTTTAGATGTTCCTCTGTTCTTAACCAGACAGGACAAATTTGATCAAATCATTTTGTGGGACAAAAGAATCAAATCAATAATGAAAGACCACTTCTACTTTTTAAATAAATAAAAATATAATTAAAATTAAATATCCAGTTTTCCATTTCTCAAATTGAAACACATTTTTGTCAATACACATATACGCAAGTATTCACACACAGGATCTGATTTAAATCATTTGACTTCAACCAATAATTTCTTCAACTTATTCTATCTCAAATGAATACAAAAACAAAAGTCTTTTTTAAAAAGCATTTCCTCCTATCTGCATGTTTCAGACAATTAACTTCTGACAAGTGTTTCCTAGCTTATAAAATACATTAGCCAGAAAAATACAAATGTTGTTCCGCATCAAATAGATTAATAATTGTAAAATCTAAAGGTATTTGAGCGATAAGTAATGGTTATATAGTAAGCAGAGGGTTGGCAAATCATGTAGGAAAACTGAAGACTCTTAACTTCGTCCCTATGAAAACTGTTCTTAGAATGTGAACTTTCTGCAGATACAGGCATTAGAGGGACAGGTCAGAAGAGACAAGGATGATTTTGTTTTACTTCCAGTACATGTTAATTTTGCTTTATTAGCAAACCTGACTGGTAAAGTTAAAGCAGAATTTGCTCCTGGCCTACAGACAAACTTCATAAACAAAACCCCACTTTAAAGACCAAACAGTGCTGAGTCTTTTGGAAGCTCCGGTTTTGTCATGGAGCTCTGTGTCAGGTAGGACCCACTTTTAAACACCCTCCAAAGTGTTCTATGAACTTCCCTGGGGGCTCAGACGGTAAAAGCGTCTGCCTACAATGCGGGAGACCTGGGTTCGATCCCTGGGTTGGGAACATCCCCCTGGAGAAGGAAATGGCAATCCACTCCAGTACTCTTGCCTAGAAAATCCCATGGACCAACGGAGGAGCCTGGTAGGCTACAGTCCATGGAGTAGCAAAAAGTCGGACACGACTGAGCCACTTCACTTTCAGGGTATTCTAAAACTTTGAGCATGAACCTGTCTGGACACTCTACTCATTTGGGGGGCCAGTTTAATTCAGTGTAAAGAAACATGAGCAACGTCTGCTCAGAGTAAAAGGAAGCATCTTTTGGATGCCCTTTTAGATCATACCTAAAATTCACCACACAGGGAAATCATCCTGAGCCTTTAGAAGACACCCAAATAACAAATTTGAGTTAACAGTAGACTAGTTCCTCTGCTAGAAGGTTCCTCTGAAGAAAAAGAAGAGTAACAAAGTCAGTTACTGCCTTCCTCGCCCCAGGGAACACTGAAGTGAAAGTGAAAGTCACTTAGTTCTGTCCAACTCTTTTCAACCCCATGGACTATACAGTCCATGGAATTCTCCAGGCCAGAATACTGGAGTGGGGGTAGCCTTTCCCTTCTCCAGGGGCTCTTCCCAACCCAGGGATCGAACCTAGGTCTCCCACATTGCAGGCAGATTCTTTACAAGCTGAGCCACAAGAGAAGCCCGCCAATACTGAACCTCTGCAATAAAATAAGAAACATAACAGGGATTCAGTTGTTCCAGAAACAAGCGCAGTTTTTCCTGATTGCAAAAAGTGATTTATAAGACTGCATTTCACTGAAAAACAGAATAATTCAACTTTTAATTCAACTCTCAGCTAAGTTTTCTGGTTTGTTTTTCTCTGCTGCCTGTTAGATTTTGCCATGTTTAAAAGTATTGAATTCTCCTTACAGGGTATCCATTATAAGTTATCAGTCACCTGAGATTAGTGAGTCTTAACTCAAAAAACGCCTTGATTTAAAAATTCTCCAAAGTATGAGGGAACCAATGTATAGGGTAATTCCTAAGAGATACATTGTTTTTATCATGTATTACTACACTCATTCACACAGATACGGGGTATACTAACCAAATGTCATCCTGAAGACATACTTAGCAAAGCGGAAGAGTTAGAAAGTAAGTGAGCTCTGTGGGGTTGGTTTTGATTGAAGATAATGTGATGGGATGAAACAGTAACTGAGCCTACCAAGCCTTTCCTTCTCTGTGAATTGGAGTTTGCCTATTAGCTCTCCCGTTTACCAACGCCGAACCAACAACCAAGAACTACTAAAATAAATAAGTAAAAACAGTTTGTTATGGAAGCCCATTGCACAACAGCAGAGTAGAAAAGCACTGAGCCTTGTTTCTATTCAAGTATCTGATCTCTTGGCCAGAACCATGCTTCCTGAAAATGAGGAGTGCTAAATAAAATACATGCAGTCCAGGGGATGCCAACATGAAACCCAGGCAGAAACGTTAGAGAAAAAAAGGTAGCTTTAAGACAAAAAACCTGGACCATCTTAGATGCTAACCTGATTATTGTTGTTCAGTCACTAAGTCATGTCCAACTCTTTGTGACCCCCATGGACTGCAGCACACTAGACCTCCTTGTCCCTCACTATCCCTCAGAGTTTACCGAAGTTCATGTCCATTGAGCTGGTGATGCTATCCAAGCATCTCATCCTCTGCCACCTTCTTCTCCTTTTGCCTCAGTCTTTCCCAGTATCAGGGTCTCTTCCAGTGAGTCTGCTCTTCGCATCAGGTGGCCAAAGTATTAGAGCTTCAGCATCAGTCCTTCCAATGAATATCCATTAGTTCAGTTTTTATGATATGTAACTTTCTCAGAAAAATCATTCCATAAAAGGAGTCAGAAGAACAGGAAAAGGAAGTAAGAAGCAATGGAGCTGGTGAGGGCTTCAGGAAATGGGGAGGACAAGGTAGGACCTCGAAGGGAGTGGCAGGGCTGAAGATCTGGTTAAACATGAAAAGAATAAACTCAATAGAGAATCCTATTAAAGAAATACACCAATACCTTTTAACAAATATGACAATAAAGAAATGGGACCACTTTTCCCTAGGGAATTAGGGACCAGAGAAATGAGGGCTCAGCTCCCTGCCTCTTCCATCACAGGAGTCAGCACCCTCTGAATTCCATCAGGCAGTTTGCAACACGGATTCACAAAAAATTCTTGGCACCAGAGCTAATCCATCAACAGTGCAGAGAGGAAATACACAGGGCAACTGAAACCAGATTCCACAGTACTTGATTCAACTCTTTACTAAGTAGAGAGGTCAATATAGTTGGTCCTTTGCCTACCACTGGCAAATGGTTTTTGTACACTTTATTACAAATAAAACAGTTTTGCTTGACAATACCGTCAGCTTTACAACAGATGATTAAACAATCCTAAAGTAATAGTATATCTCTAGGAACTGAGCTTTTCTTAAAACAAATGAACTATATATACTATTAGTAAATCCTGTATCTAAATTTATACAGCATCTTTAAGCAGTGTGGAAATGAAATTATGATTTATTAATTTACATAAAAATTATACATTAATGAATAAATTTTCAAATTAAAAAAAAAAAACAAAGTCTGAAGCTGTCATTATTGGGATTCGTGGGAAGTGGTTTGCTCTTCTATCACTTGCTTCACAATTTCAGCCAGTTTTAATCGATCTACTTTATCGGTGAATCCACGACCTGAAACCCAAAAAAGGAAAAGGTGAGTCTCCAAACAGATGGTAAGATTCTTGACAGGGACCCAATAAGGTACACCTCACTAGTGTCAAATTCACCTTCACCAATGGAGGAACCATCACCAACACTGATCAGAAGCAGTTCAAGTCCCCCATTTTTCAGGTAGAGTTGAGCAGCTTATTAACCTGGTCATAAAAATCCAGTGTTCAGTACAACAGCACAGAAGGAAACCACAAAGAGGGAGAAGTTCTTTGTAATATGTGTCTACAACAGAACGCCTATCCAGACATGCACATTTATAAGAGAGGTACAAGTCAATAGAAAAATGGGCAACAGAATAGGCACTTCACAAAATCTAAGTGGGCAATAAACATTAAAAAGTGCTTAAGCTTATATGTCATCAGGGAAAGGCAAAGTAAAATGACACTGCAGTACCAATAGTACTTACTAACTAGAAAAACTAAAATGAAAAAGATAACAGCAAGTGTTGGTGTGGATACAGAATAACTAGAACCCTCAAACCCTGCCAGTGGAGGTATACGTTGGTACGACAACTTTGGGAAATGGTGGCAGTACCCTCTAAAGCCAAACAGATGAATATCCCCATGAACCAGCAACTCCAATTCTAGATACATAGGAGAAATGAGTTCCCTGATGGTCCAGTGGTTGGGTGTCTGCCTGCCAATGCAGAGGACGTGGGTCTGATCCCTGGTCCAGGAAAATCCTACATGCCACCAGGCAACTAAGCCCATAAGCCACAGCTACTGAAGCTCACGCACTTTGAGCCCGTGCTCTGCAACAAGAGAAGCCACCGCAACGAGAAGCCTGCACACTGCAACTGGAGAGTAGCCCCCACTCACTGCGACTAGAGAAAGCCCGTGTGAATCAATGAAGGCCCAGTGCAGCTAAAAATAAATAAATGGAAATAAATAAATCTTAAAAAAAAAAAAAGATATACACTAGAGTGTTCAGAGCAGTGCTTTCCTTAATTACCAAAACCCAGAAACAACCCATATATCCATTCAACAGTAGAATGGATAAACACAAAAACTATTTATCTGGTGTATATTATGGAGAAAAAAACATATGAATATATAGAGAGAACATACGTACATTTACGTACATACATATATATATAAAAATGAGAAATGAATTTCTACTACACACAACAATATGGTTGAACCTCACCAACATTGACGAAAAGAAGCCAGATACAAAAGAACATAGACTTGTCTGATTCCATATACATAAAATATAAAATCAGGCAAAACTGATACATAGTGCTAGAAACTGGGCTCAAAATTACCCTGTGGGGAAGGAGGTAGTAGAAGAGGGCACATGTTCAAATGCTGGTTACGTGAGAATGTTCACTTTGTGAAAATTTATGGAAGTGTGCACCTCAAATGTCACTTTTCTGTACAGATGATTTCAAAATCTTAAATGTATCCTAGAGAAGCTAATTTCCAAGTACAGAAATGGCTGGGCTAACTTTTTGGACTTCTCATGTCCAAAAACCAGGCTCCTTGCCTTGAGCATCCTAGACCTGAAGTCTAGCCTACTACTCTAGGAAGACAATACAAAAGCAGCTCAAAATACACCTCTGCCTTTGCCTGTGGGGAAAAAAATTTAACAAGCAGCAGATCTGGGACACTCTTTAGTGCAACAGGTCTTCTCTAAGCTGAGCAGATCTGCAGGGTAGACTTTGCAGTACTTTGCCCTCTTTCTCCCCTTTGGACTGAACTGCTTTTTCTTTTTTTCCCTGAACTGCTCTTTATAATGACTCGGTTAACAGCTCAGATATCTGGAAGGAGTTCTGAGATCTGATGCTTTTTTTTTGCCCAAGTGGTATATGATGGGGGCTCTGGACAGCAATGACTCTGCAACACACAATTCATTTGAACTCTGGAAGATAAGTGAAAGGGCTGGATTGTCCAGATATGCCTGGGTAGTTACTGCAGGATTAACCCCTGTCCCACAATACTCCACTCACTCTCCAGCCCTACTTCACCTGAACAGAGCCCCAGCTCAGCCCCCAGAGATCCTACATAATCTAAACACAAATACTTCTCTGCACTCCTGGGGAAAGGCATAATTAAGACTCCTACCATTCCAGCTGAAGCTTTGCAGAGTATCTCTCAGGAGTTTGCATTCCCGGTTATACTTCCAAGCTTCCTGCACTACTTCATTCAGCTTTTCATCTTCATTCTCTCCTGTTGATAAAGATGAAAAAGAAGTTGCATTCCTCTGCAGCATCATGGGGTTTTAGTGTCAAAGATGGAAGGACAGGATGTCCAACTTTATTGAGAAGTGGTCATTAAAGGTGCAAGCTTTTCCAGACTATCATAACTGCTAGTTCCTACATTACATGTAGACTACTTCTGGTTTCTGAATTCTTCCTACTCTGACCACCTGACAGACATCCCCTGAGGCCCCCGGAGTCTTAGCCCTGGGGGATGGGAAATAGGCAATGTTGGGCTATTGCTGATCAAAAACACCTGGTTAACCTACCAGATCATGAGAAGGAAGGAGAACAAGGCCGAGTGGGCTACCTTCTTTCTTCCTAAGCTCATTTCCTACTCTGGAAGGCTACCTGAGGTATGCTATGTGAGCTCTCTTAAAACCCAAGGAATCTAGGAAGACTGGTCAGCTCAGTAGTTTTCAGGCCTACAACGTGAAGTATCTCATTCATCTGCTGAGAAAAGCCTGTCCTATCCCATTAAGGGGAAAGAGAGCATGCTGAAAGAGAGCATGAGTCATGAGTCCTCACTCAAAGGACTCATGTATATAAGTCGCAGTCTGCCTGTGATACCAGTAGCAGCCAGGGCCACTTCTGAACTTGGGAGGTCTTCTCTTTATATTCACAAGTTAATGACAGCCTTGTACTCTAGATACGGGCTCTAGATATGGTGTTTCTCGACCTTCCTGACCTTCCCAACCTAATCCTGACCCTGTTCACATTTTCTATCCTCTATCCTGTTATCTCATTAATGAACTAAGAAAATACAAAATTACATGTTATGCCTGACACTGGCAATTAAACTAGAAATTTCATAGGAAGCCAAAGGTGGGACAGAACCCACCACATTTCTGAGTTCCCATTGTCCACTCTTTTCAGTGGGCTTAGAGTATATAACATACTTATTTTCTTATAACACCAAGGTGAAACAGAAAACTTCCAATTAAACCACTCCTTCATCCATAAAACTCAGGCCTTAACCAGTAGGTTGGACGACAAGACCAATTGAAATGTCATGAAATGTCTTTGTTGCTCCTGTTATTTCTGTCTTGATTTAATTGTCTCGTTCTTTAATGATTATTAAAATCTTGTGCCTGAAAGTTTATTTTGCTTAATTATGAAGTAGACATGCATGTTTATATTTATGCAAAATATTTGCTGTAAAGGTTTTTTTTTTTGGTTTACTCTTTTTAAAAAATCACTATATTTAAGTAAAAAATGAAGGTCAGCAATTAAAAAAAATAAAATAAAATAAACCACTCCTTCAGTCATGTGCACATGCACACACACAGTCATGCAGAGCATTCATAAATGGTGTGACCTTTACCAGCCTGGGGGAGAATACACTGAGCAATCACATCTCGGAGCTTTTCCAAGGCAACATTTGAATCCTCGGCTCCATTCTCACGGTCATGGATGTATACACCATCCTTTGGCTTGGTGCTTTAGAAGTTTGGGAGAAAGGTAATAACAAAGTGAGACCCCAAAACCCAGCTCTTAACAGATGTTACCTCTAAACACTAAACATAAGGCAAGATTTTTCAGATAAAATAATTAATTATAAAGTATCTCCAAGTTCTGATGCTATTTAAAGAACTTATCCTCTCCACCCTCCTAAGAGGCAAAAAAGGGCAAGACTCTTGGCTGACCTTTCAGAACCCTGTCCTTG